TGTGTGTGTGTGTGTGTGTGTGTGTGTGCATCCGACGGTCGCGACCATTCGTCGCGAATGGAAACCATCACAAAGCGTAGGCAGAGAGTCCCTCATAAGTCAAATACAAAGTCCCAAACCCGCGTCCGGGCGTAGCCGCATTCCGCGGCCGATTCATTCGTTTTTGCCCCCCATAGTGCAAGTACCCAGCCCGTTCGTCGAAACGAACGGGCGCTACAAATAAAACTACGAACCCAAAAAAAAAAAAAGAAGAAGAAAATTAAAAAAACGAATCTAATAAGAAAATCTAACTAAAGAAAATCCAAGATAAATCTAAAAGAAGAAAATCTAAGAAAAAAAAGAAAAGAAAAAAAAGAAAAGAAAAAAAAGAAAAGAAAAAACAGAAAAACACTTACCTTTCTGCCAAAATGGTCACCCGTTTTTACGGGCGCAGTCACGTTCTCTAGGGTTGAAGTGCCCTAGTACTTTCAAGGGCGCGACATGGCGCTGTACTCTTTAGTTTTTAGTTGTTTTATTTTTTTTCCCCCTTTTCCTGACTATATCCGTTGGCTTTATGCCAACGGTCACATCGTGGCTGAAAGCCACGGTTTTGGCTATGCAGGCCCAAGTTCGAATCCCGAAGGATTCGACGAAATGTTTCAATTTTTTTTTTTTTTTTTTTTTTTTAATTTATGTGTGTCATCTTTGTGCAGAGGTCATGCTCACCTGCGCGACTGATCTCGGCCGCGCGATCTTTCAAATCGGACGGTCGAAATCGACCTCGCCCCTTCAAAAAGGGCAGCTCCAAAAGGAACTAGCCCAAGGGAGCAGCACACCGGATCCGATCCCGGTTTCTGCCGGGTGAGAGTTCAGTACTGTAACCTACTGGGCCAGTTTTCGTGATAGGAGCTTCGTGATAGGAACTGGTCTTCTATAAGAAGAGTTTGCCCAGTCGTTATCCCCTATGCTGGGGCTTCGCAGGCCCCGCCTGCCTATGGTCTCGCAGACCTTGCCTGCCTGCCTGTGGCCCTGCAGGCCCTGCCTGCCTGTGGCCTTGCAGGCCCCGCCGGCAGCCTTTCCCCGTTGGTAGGCCGCGTGGCATCGGCCTATCAACCCCCTGGCTCGATGTCAACCTCCGCAGCCCAGAAAAAACCTTTCTTCCTATTCCCCTTGCGTCGCAGTCCTATACCCGGCGCATCCCCCTTTTAGCCCACTTAGGCCCTGAATCGCGACATTATTTTAGGTAGAATGGGTCTGGTTTTACCGTTCCCATGACCGCACATTCCTGCGGCTGCGACAAAAATGAAGCATTACCATTCACATCTGTTACTCCTGGACGCCACATGCGTGCGGACTAACGTCCGAAAACTTTTAGTTCATCAATCATAGGTTAGGTCTGAATAAACATTGGCAACGTCAGTCTCATCAAGTTCTACAATTCAACGAGAAAGTCGGACAGCGTCCGACGTTGAAAAACCCCGGCAAATACCCTTGTCAGGGTATTTGCCCCGACAGCGTGTCCTGGGTTCTGAAGGGAATTGAGCATTCCTGAGTCCTTATCTTAAGGACGTTTTGGATGTCGGGTGAAATTGCAGGTATTGATTTGTTGTGACAAGTATGTTTTTTTTTTTTTTCAGAATTGAAAAAAATTCGAGCGGTAATAGATCCAAAAAGAAAATGGGTGTTGTCGCTGGTTTGATATTCAAGGCTGTTTCGTAGGTTGCCACATACAGCGGATCAATTTATCAACGAATAGTGAACAGAGAAAGAGAAGGATGCAAGAAGTACAAGTGTCTATTGCGTCTGATGGCCAGAGACTTTGTAGTTAGCTTGTTGTAAGGTCACCACTGCCAAAGGCGAGGCTGCATTACACTGAATGGTTACAGGATATGGGTTGATTAAGTCGATCGTGGAGGGAAAAATATCATAGCTTATATTCTGCGAAATGAACACCGACAGGATGAACTCTCCTTGAATAGGAAGTGAGGGAGTGAATCTGGTTGTGATTTACAGTGTTGAACCTGACTAACTGCAGAGCTGATGGCTATAGTAAAGTCAGGGCAAGCAAGGGTACCTGCTGGGTATCATCCTTGATCGACAAAGATACGCTTATGAAAACACCACTTGCAGCAACTTCGTGAGTATACACGAAGCTCCCAGACCATCGTCTAGCTGTTTGTCTGTGACCGATCCTGTAGGTGTCTTTCTGATTGACAATCGTCCTGCACCCGAACACAACGCACTCTTGTCATGAATGTATGTTAGCCATCTATCTTATGCGATATGGTCATGATGAGGGTGTGTTGCGTTAGCGGCAAGATGAGAACATGATTGCTTGTAATGATCGTGAAGGCTGACTGATAGGAAATTGACAGTTCAATGATATAGCCGCACCACGTAGCTTGGTGCGCTGTAGTCTTCTGGAATGAGCCGCACTTTTCAGTCGTTGTT